CATGAGAGATCTGTTTTATTCTGTTGTTTTTCATTCTTCTGTAAAGGGGCAGGTAGAAAGTGAAAGAGTAAAGATAGAGCAAAGGGGATAGTTAGTAGTAAGTGCCCGATTCGTTCAGAAGATATTAGTCTACTGGCCAGATGGAAGAATTACTTTAACTAAGAGACCACCAGCATTCTTTCAGAAAGGAATGCACAAAGGATGGGTGCAAAGGCAGGTAGGTTTGTAGTGTTGGTAGTAAGATGTCATGGCTTGCTTGCATTGGATTGATGAATAGGCAGTTTCTCTGTATAAAGTGGGGGAGGGGAAAAGAAAAATAAACAGAGGCTTAGGAAGAAGACAGTGTGAAGGAATTGTCAGCTCACTAGTGAAAAAGTAGGATTTTTACAAATGCTGGGTCGGTGACAGAATTTATAGTCCATTAAGTCATGTGTATTTTCTCCAGTCTAACCCAGCAGCCTAGGCATAGGCCTGGAGAATACAATTCGTTAAACTCATCCAAATTTGGGGTTCTGGCAGGCAGGAAAGAAGGTAGGAGAGTTTCAGATGTTGACAAGTGAGGGGTTCAGTGATTGCCTATTGTATGCAAGCCAGAGATGAGTGGAATTAGTGATTACTTAAGTGACTGCTAAAATCCAGGGTGTGATGACAATGAGTGGTAGTAGAAAAGAGAAAGTTATTACACATGATCTTGCAATTGTGTTCTCAATGGGCCAAATCCCAAACCATAGCCAGAATCAATATTAGCAAGACATTTTCCAACTTGGCCAATCTAAGTGATAACATTTTCATTTTTGTATGTTGGAGAATCGGAAAGACTCTCCTCATGAGTTTGAATGCCAACTAGAATTTTCACATAAATACTGGAACCAACCTAAACCAAAATGATTGGTAATTTTTCATAGGAAAGAAGGATTAAAAAAATTGAGGGGTGCCTGGATGGCTTAGTCAGTTAAGCATCTAACTCTTGATTTAGGCTCAGGTCATGATCTCAGTTTTGTGAGTTTGAACCCTACATTGGGCTCTGTGCTGACAGCACGGGACCTGCTTGAGAGTCTCCCTCTCTCTCTCTGCCCCTCCCCTGCTCGCACTCTCTTTCTCAAAAATAAATAACAAAAAATGTAAAAAAAAAAAAAATCAAGATATCTCTGCCATATACAAAAGCTAAGAGAAACTTAAGCTAAAAATAAGCAGAAACAAAGGCTTTTGATACAACCAATAAAGTTAGAACTTCAACAACATGTGCATGTTTAGCTATTTAATAATATATGCTAGTACCCTCTCCAGTATGCTGTGTACTAGAAAATTTGGTTAACATAAAAATTTTGGGCGTTCGTATATACAGTTTCTACTAGTTTCTTCCTAAACCTCAGGGATCATCTGGTACACCCCACTTTGGAGATCTAGTACATAGTGCTGATAATCTTTTAGGCCAGTAAATATTTCCCCTAATCCTGTATCAGCAGCAGTGAGTAAATTCAAACACATCAATCTGAGTATGTAAGGAACTCTCCCTTTGACTGCCGTAATTTGGAAATCACCACACTTGGAAATTAGAAATCTTGTTAGTTCTTTCAATTTGAGGACGTGGTGGTATTTGGAGAGCTTAGAAAGCTGTGTTCTCCACTTTTGTCACCCAAAAAGAAAAACAGCAGTGTTTCCCAGGTCAGCTATCATTTATTGAGGTCGTTAGGATGGAAAATGTCAACATGAAAAGTAGTACTTGCAGAATTCAAAAGAACTTGCTACAGTTCATTTGTTTTAATGTTGATTTATTTATTTTGAGAGAAGTGAGAGTCAATGGAGGAGGGGCAGAGAGAGAAAGAACTCCAAGCAGGCTCTGCATTGTCAGCATGAGCTGGACCCAAGGCTCAAACTGACGAGGCAGATCAAGACCTTAGCTGAAATCAAGAGCCAGACTTGTAACCAACTGAGTCACTCAGGTGCCCTGAGGGTTCATATTTTTATTAGCCTCTAAACTTGGGGGCAGGGGCACCTGAGTGGCTCAGTTGGTTATGCATCAGACTCTATGATTTCGACTGAGGTCAGGATCTTGAGATTCGTGGGTTTGAGCCCTGCGTCAGGCTCTGTGCTGACAGCTCAGAGCCTGGAGCCTGCTTCAGATTCTGTCTCCCTTTCTTTCTGCCCCTCCTCTGCTTGCACTCTCTCTCAAAAATAAACATAAAAAAATAAACTTCGGGGCAAATGGTGAGGGCCAGGAATGGGTAAGTTTTAGTCAGGATCAGGATTAATACTTCTTTTTTTAAAAAAAGTTTATTTTGAGAAAGAGGGAAAGCACGTGTGTGAGCAGGTGGGGTGGAGAGAGGGTAAGAGAGAATCCTAAATGGGCACCATGCTGTCAGTGCAGAGTCCGACACGGGGCTGGATCTCAGGAAACATGAGATAAAGACCTGAGCCGAAATTGAAAGTCAGATGCTTAACTGATTGAGCCACCCAGGCACTCCAATAGTTTCTTTCAATCACTGTTATTCAACAAATACTGAATGAGTGCCTACAGAGTGCAAGACATTTAGGCATTGTTAGAAACTAATGACCCAGCTTTTTTTTTTTTTTTTTTTTAATTTTTTTTTCAACGTTTTTATTTATTTTTTTTGGGACAGAGAGAGACAGAGCATGAACGGGGGAGGGGCAGAGAGAGAGGGAGACACAGAATCGGAAACAGGCTCCAGGCTCTGAGCCATCAGCCCAGAGCCTGACGCGGGGCTCGAACTCACGGACCGCGAGATCGTGACCTGGCTGAAGTCGGACGCTTAACCGACTGCGCCACCCAGGCGCCCCTCAGCTTTTTAAACATTATAGTCTCAATTGGGGAAACAAACCAAAACTATAACACATAATTATTCACAAATATCAATTATTCTTGGTAACATATAATAGCATTCAAGAGAATGTGATCTGTGAGAAGATATTATCAGAAAACAATATTTAAATAGCTAAAGTAGAAAGTGAAGGGGTTCAGAACATTTCACCCCAAAATATACTTTGGGTATATTGATTATTTTGAGCTGAAATCCCTAAGAAAACAGATGCACCAGGGGTTCTTTGACTTCTCCCTTTTTACCAAAAAGCAGGTCATAAAATTTCCTGTGAGAAAGGGGACCTTCTTCTACCAGGAAGAGAACATTCTTATCACCAGAGGTGAGACTGATGCCAAAATGGACCTGTACAAACAAGTCTACTAAAATAATCCTTATCTTCCATTAGTTTCACTCATGCATTGTAGTCACTGTCCCACAATTTACCATCCCTTACCCAAGCCCCCCTTTTTTGGTCACATCCCTACAATTTATTGCTCTTTATATAAAAAGGTATATAAAATTTGGGCCTAATGGCTTCTTTGGATCTTCATTTCCTTTTGAATACTCCCATATAAACATAAATCTATTAATTAAATGTGTTACGTTTTTCATCTGTTAATCAGTTTTGCACCCAGCCATAGCACCTAAGAGGTAGAAGGTAAGTTTTTCCTCCCCTACAAGAGAAACAAGCATTTGAGATTAAAGGACCCTCAAAACCAGTGTGGAGAAATAATAACCAGTGATGGAAGGACGGGGTAATTAATTTTGCTGGAGTATAGGACTCACATTAGAATGCATTCAGAAGTAAAAGAGAGTATGTTTGTGTCAGATTAAAGACTGTCAACTTTATCATTGTCTGCAGTGGTACATCAATACAGGTTTTTTGAGCAGCAGTAATATACATTGTTTTTGGAAGGTTTATCTGGCTATTATTAGGTGGCTATTAATATAGTCTTGCTAAAGAAAGTAAGGGTTTGAATGAAGAACTGGAAAAAATGTAGATGCAAAAATCACTATTGGGAAAGACAAGCTGACATAAGGAACAAAATGGAAACAATACACACACGTTAGGAAAAAAAGGTTTATTGGAGAAGTTTTTGGAGCTTCTGAGTCAGAACTGACAATAAGACATGCATGTAGAAATATCCAACAACCCACAAACAGCTGAAAATGTGAACCTAGAACTCTTGACGAAAGGTGCAGACTTAGGACTCACATTCTCGGGAACCTGGAAAGAAAAAAAACAAAGACAAGCTTTACATGTCATCATCTAGAGAGGAAACTAGAGTGGGTGAGGATCTAAAATAAGTGATGCAGAATCCCAGAAGCTAAGAGATCCAAGGGTTTAAATAAGAAAAAGGAAGTGATCTTCAACCATGTGAGTTGCTGTGGAACTGTCAAGTTCACCTGTAATGATGAGGAGAGGTCATCCGTAACATCTGGGAACTCTGCAGTCTGCCATTTCGTCCTCAAGAATAACTAGGAAATAAGCATCCGACTCTTCACCACGTCTTGGTCTAGAGTTAATTCCTTTTGCACTCCACTTTTAGGGACTGGAGTTGAAGATGAGTTGTCCACCAGTTCTGACAGTCTTCATTTTCTTACCACCCACCGTAGGTTTTTGTTAAATGTGCAAACAAGCAAGACACGAAACAAAATAATACGGGTATCCTTAAAAGGCGCAGAAGGCTGTCCAATGTCTGCATTGCTGAAGGACTCCAGAAAGCCCACAGCTCCTGTATTCAATCTAGACAAGACCTTTTGTAAGAGCACGTGGGTGGCACCCAGGAAAAGCCAAGGCAGATTAGGGCACTGGGATCAGAAACCTATTAACCTGGGACTTCTAATCACAGTCATCGGGCCTGCTGTTCAGTGTGCAAACACCACCCCCTTCAAATTTTTTCACCTACAAGAAAAGGTTTTTAAGGTAACAGACCTGGAACAACTAACGAAACTTACGCACCCTCTCCACACAACAATGTCCCCCTGCACGCATTTTTCTGGGGGGCTTTTAGTGCCGAAAGGTCTAGTACCGACGCTTTTTCCACCACTTTGGGTCCCGACGCCCCCAGCTCTGCGCAGGCGCAGGGAGCAGCCCGCAGGGCGGGGCGGGGAGGCGCGGGGAGGGGCCGAGTGGGTCGGACGCAAAAGCCCCAGGCGCGCTCCGGAGCCACTGCGCTTCCCCGGAAATCTAGTGTCATCGGGCCTCGGAGGCGTAGGAAGTGCTTCCTGGAGCACGGCAGAGGTCACAAATCATGTGACGACGGCTTTTGGAGGAGACTGTTTTTGAAGCTGTCCCTGAATTTGCAGCTGAGAGAACACGGCAACCCAGCAAACCAGGTAACTCGAGCCGCTCTGCTCGTTATTCAGCCAGGGCCCGCAGCTGGCGCGGGCGGTGTGACGCCAGGGAAGGAGAGGACCCCTCTCCCTCTTTACTTTGGGCCTAGATCTTGGCGGGTAGAGGGTGGAGTGGGCTGAGAGGTAGGGCATCCCGGCTGCCGCCTGGGTATTTGGGAACTCCCGACTTAGCTCAGCTTGCCTGGTGCGGGTCCTGGAGCCGGGGGTTCTTGCCTGGCTTTGATGGGAGCTGACCCCGCTTATCAGGTCGGAGGTGGGAAGCAGTCTTGAGGGGAGAATCACCAGGAGTTTCTCTTCCAGGAGTGGAGATTGATCCTGCGGGAGAAAGGGGTTCATCATGGCGGATGTGAGTTCCCACACAAGAGGAAGGGGAGGGTGGGGAGTTTGGTGGAGGCCTACTGGGTGGGGAGAGGTAAAGCTTCCCAAGTAGAAATGTTTCCTTTTACAGCCCACCCCGCCCAAGTATTTTCTGTAGACTCTGGAACGAGTAACTACTATAAATAGATTTGCGGGGGGGCGGGGGGGTGTCCTGAGTTTCTGTCCACATGGAGGTCGAAGACACTAAGGTGTCTGAAGTTTAGGAAATTGTATTCTTCCCACTCCCCAGGCCTGCGGGCCTGAGAGGCTCTGAATACCATTTGAATTTGTAAATGATGTTTTGCTGCCTTGAATCTCCGCCCCCTCCCCCGCCCCCCAGTAAGTGGTCATGATGTTTCTAGATTCATTGGAGCAATTTGAGATGATTTCTGATACCCCTTTGGCACAGCAATAGAACCCAAGTTCTAAGTTTAGGAAACTTAATTGTACTAGTTATTAGAAACAACAGGGAACTAATACTACTAATGTTTATGCCTGTAATTTACATCCTGTTATTTTACTTACATACATGCTGGACATTCTTCTAAACATTGAATATAATATACTCATTTAATTCTTGCAACAACTTTTGTGCAGTAGGCACTGTTGTCCTTGGGTTCTAGATTAGGATGCTGAGACATAGAAAGATAAAGTAACTTGCCCCAGGTTACACAGCTGGTAAGTTGTAGGGCCGAGATACCAACCCAGGCTGTCTGACTCCAGAGTTTATGCTCTTAAACATAACACTGAATGATCATTCAACATTATTATGAATGTGGTTTTTCTTTTTAGGTTGCAAGATTATGTGTTTCAGTATTTAGGAACTTTGTATGCCTTTATCACTCCATTTTTGGGTGTCTCCCATTGTGTTTTTGAGACCTTATTCTTCAGGCATACTCAAATCACTGTATATCTGTTGAGTGTTGCCTTGCAAAGGTTGTTGTGAAAAAGGCTGTGGGTGAAATAAAGATGACTAAGGTATAATTCCTTAAGGGTTTTTAAAATTAAAGAAGTAGAGTAGGCAAGTGATCATAAATGTATATACATTTGTTATGTGAAACTTCAAAGGAGAGTGGGATTACATCTCGTTTGTGTTTATCAGGAAAACTTATTTGAAGTATTTGGTAGAGATTAGCTCTAAATGATGAGAAGCAGGATTTTTTTGGTTTTTGTTGTTGTTGTTGTTGTTGTTGTTTTTTAGTAAGAATGATAGAGAATACCATTAGAGTGAATAGTGTAAGCAAAGTTTCAGAGCTAGGAAAGAGAAAGATGTTTGTGGAGGAGCTGTGAGTAGTCCACTTTGGGACTGAGGATATGTACAAGGGAGTGGTAGGAAGCAGGACTGTAAAATTAGGTGTGGACTGTATTGTAGAGAGGCTCAAATGTTAAAGGAATTTGTACAGAATTTGTTAAACAGTGGAGAGCCATTCAGACGTTGGTTCTCAACCTTGGCTGCACAGGGAATCATCTGGGAAGCACCTCTAACCCAAGTAGAGGAGAATAATATGGTTATTGGCATTGTGTAGAACTGTGTGGGATAGAAATGGGAGACCAGCATACCAGTTGGGAGGCAAGTCATAAATAATAAAATAAACCTAGAGTGTAATGTCAGTTGAAAAGGAGAGGAAGAGATCATTAAAAAAAAAATTTTTTTTTAAGTTTATTATTTATTTGAGAGACAGAGAGTGAGCAGGGGAGGGGCAGAGAGAAGGGGAGAGAGAGAATCCCAAGCAGGCTTCTCGCTGTCAGCACAGAGCCTGAAGTGGGACTTGAATCCACGAACCATAAGATCGTGACCTGAGCCGAAAGCAAGAGTCAGACGCTTAACCAACTGAGCCACCCAGGCGCTCCGAGATCATTTTAAAAACATTTGATTTCACAAATCATTTAGAAGTGACAAAGGTGAGGTTAAGGTTAAATATTATTCTGTGTTTCAACCTGAATAATGGGTTTGGTAGTGCCGTTAGTGGAAATGAGATTGAGGAAATCTGGATTTGACGTGAAACATTGAGTGGAGTTTTAGTGTGTGTGTTTAAGATAAGAGCAGAGGTAAGATGGTGGTGATAACATGAAATGAACATTCAGGTTTAGAGAATAGTAGGGATTAGAGTTTCAAAACAACAGGTACCTGATTTACTTATGAGGACCTCATAACTGATACCTGGATTGTCAGTGAAATTCCCCAGGTGAGAGGGTATAATGAGAGGAAATAAAACAGTCTTTTATTTCTTTTTATTTTTTTTAAATGTTTATTTTATTTTTGAGAGATAGAGCATGAGCGGGGGAGGGACAGAGAGAGAGGGAGACACAGAATTTCAAGCAGGCTCCAGGCCCCGAGCTGTCAGCACAGAGCCCGACCCGGGGCTTGAACTGTGAACCGTGAGATCATGACCTGAGCGGAAGTCGGACACTCAACCGACTGAGTCACTCAGGCACCCCATCTTTTATTTCTTTACTCCTGGTTATGTTTCATGCTTAACACTTGACACATGTTGTTATTTATATTTACTCATGAAAAGGAACTGAGTTCCAGAGAAGTTAATTTATTCAGGATTGTTACTGCTTCTTGACCTTTTGGCTAAGATCAAGTGTAGTATCTGTTCTTACCAGCTTAATTTACCCAGGATTGTTAAAGCGATGTTAGAAAGTTTATCTGTGGACATGGAAAGATGTTCATAATATATTTCCAAGTGAACATGACAATAGCAACAGGATGTAAAATTGTATGAAAAGTATGATCTAATTTAACAGCTAATGTGTATTTACTATATGTGTATTTTTCTAGATATGCTTATAAGTTTACATGTATCTTCTCAATAAATTTTAACAGCCTTACAACATAGGTTCATGATTATTACCCCTCCTCAACAAATAATGAAACTGGGGCTTAGAGAAAAAGGTTAGATAACTTGTTCCAAGTCATAGAACTAGTGTCAAAATCAGAAAGAAAAAAAAAACCCACAAGCAAGAAGGATTATGAATGATGACTTAAAGTACCTGAAATGTGGATAGCTTAGTATCTAGAGAAACGGTACAAGGCACATTATTATAAGATAATTTTATATTCTCTTTCAGGACCTGAAGCGATTCCTGTATAAAAAATTACCAAGGTAAAAAATTACTCATTTGATATTAAATAAATTTTGCATAATATATGATTGATTATGTAGCGTTTTATTTCTTTTAGACTAATAGTATGGTCCTATTATGCTATTATTTACCATTTCAAATAATGCTAGGTAGCACAAGAACTGTCCTTTGAATTTGCAGATAAATACCATGAGGCCTAGAGAAGTTAATGTGACTTTCAGAGGTTAACTAGCTAGTGAATGCCAGAGGGCTGTTTAATGGATTGTGCTTTGAAGTAGTTAGAGCAATTTTAAGGAGCAAAAAAGCCTGAGAGCTTGGGTTTCCTGTAGTATTACTTTTAAGAGCTACTTGCTGAGTCGGCGTAGCTCGAAAATGCTAGACGTAGGCAGCACTTCATACTTGGAAAAGTCACAAGGCTTTCCTTTGCCTGCACCCAGTCCGTTTGATGTGCCACTATCAGTTAGGCTCTCTGTTGAGACCGGCAAACTTCCTTTTAGGTATTTCTGTGATTCAAAGGACTTTGTCCCTTTTTTTTTTTTTTTTAATTTTTTTTCAACGTTTTTTATTTATTTTTGGGACAGAGAGAGACAGAGCATGAACGGGGGAGGGGCAGAGAGAGAGGGAGACACAGAATCGGAAACAGGCTCCAGGCTCGGCAGCCATCAGCTCAGCCCAGAGGAAACCCGGACAAAGGCGGGGCTCAACTCACGGACCGTGAGATCGTGACCTGGCTGAAGTCGGACGCTCAACCGACTGCGCCACCCAGGCGCCCCAGACTTTGTCCCTTTAATTGAATTAAAATTCACATTTAGTTCGGTGTAAAATAATACATAAGGACCTAAGAGAGAGGAATATAACTCAAGACACTCATTTTCACATTCCAGAATAATTAAATAACCTTTGAGGTGTAATGTAGCAGAATACGTGGTGAGATCCTTATGTTACTTCTTTTTTTATTCTCCAAATGTTTGAACTTAAAAAGTTTTAGATGCCAGTTTATTATTTCTGTCAGTAGATAAACAAAAGGAAAAAATCTCTTGTTTGGAGTTTTGCCTGAATTGTTTGTTGTGATTTGTCTATTGTGCCTTTACTGTGATTACAGACTAGTAGAAATTAATGATATTATCTCGTGGGTTTGATTTATGTATATTTTTCTGTATTCAGGAAGACAATACTATTGAAGTGTTAAGTAATTGTTACCTTTGATTTCATGTTAATGCAGTACTTAAGTTCATTTTTACTCTCTTCCTTGCAGCACTTGCAAACTAGAAAGACAGGTGCTGCTTCTGTTCTCAACATAATGATTAGCAGGCGGTCCTAGCCTTGCACGATAGTGCAGGGCCATAAAAGTGACCATACAAGCTGAGACAGTGTTGTTTTTTTGTTTTGTTTGGTCTTGTTTTTTTTTTAATTTATTTTGAAAGAGAGACAGTACAAGTGGGGGAGGGGCAGAGAGCGAGAGGGAGAGAGAGAATCCCAAGCAGGTCCACACAGTCAGTAGAGAGCCTGATGCGGGGCTCGAACTGACAATCATGACCTCAACTGAAGCCAAGAGTCAAGACGCTTAACTGACTTAGCCACACAAGCGCCCCCGCCTTCCACCCCACTGAATAGCGCTTACTTCTTTGCATAAACATTAAAATATATGAAAGGTATAACCTTAAGATAAGGAACAGGCATCTTTTCTGTACCTTGCCAAATTGGCACACTCCTTTCTAAGTTTGGATCAGCTGCCAACAGTTTTGTCCTTTGTACTATCGATGCTATGCAAAGTTTTTTTGACAGTGTCACTTCCTCTGGGATAGTTTCATCGGTTTCATCACAACCACTTTCCTAATTTATGTCAGTAAGTGCACTTTCACAAAGTTCCTCTGGCTGTACATCTTGCGCACAAGAATGAAAGTGGCAGCATTCTTCCAGCCAGTTACTTCTAGAACTGTGTACTTTCTATTTGAATTTCACCGCCAGCATTGTCACTTCTCCTCCCTTTGCTATATTTCATCTTTATTAGCCAGTTCCCTATTTCAGTTCTTTTTTTTTTTAAGTTAGTTTATTTTAAGGGAGAGAAAGAGTGGGGGAGGGGCAGAGAGAGAGGGAGAGAATCCCAAGCAGGCTCTACACTGACAGCATAGAGCAGGGCAGGGGCAGAAGGAGAGGGAGACACAGAATCTGAAGCAGACTCCAGGCTGTCAGCACAGCACAGAGCCCCATGTGGGGCTCAAACCCACGAACCATGAGATCATGACCTGAGCCGAAACCAAGATTTGGACACTTAACCAATTGAGCCTCCCAGGCACTCCCTTTTTTTTTTTTCTTTCTTTCTTTTTAATGTCACATGCTTTATTTTTAGAAGACACAGGGAGATCACAAAACTCCATGCTCTACTGTCTCTGCATACACTGAGTAACAGATGTTCAGTGACCAATCACCAGCACACTCTGAAAGAAGTGATGTGACTGGTTACTGACATAATGTGCATCTGTTATTTACAAAATTATTCACATAGTGATTTGTGTGAAGAGTTAGTGAGGTTTGTACTTTATGCAGTTATTCAGTTAATAGACCATACTCCCTGAAATTTGGCCCAGGGGGATAGTGTTAGTTAATTCACCTGTGGTAACTAAAATGTGTCCATACTGAAACCGTACAAAATAATGGCCTTCTGTTCTTATCTGTATCTACTTTGTTGGAAGTTCAGCATATTGAAAGCATGCTAAAGTTGACCTGGGGGGCAGGCGGGGAAGTATCACGCTGGCAACACAATATAGGAGCAGAAGCATAGTAGGTATTTGTGTAAAGGGCATTTGTAAAAGTCTAATGAAAATCTTTCTATAGTGAAAGGAAAAGGATTGGGACCGTGTGTTTTGTTTTGTCCCCCATAATGACCAGAGCCAGTTTACCAAGGCACTTAATGGAATATATTTTTATTCATTTTAAAATTTCCTCCTAAATATAGTTCTTGAATTATATATTTTAAAAGTCTAATTGTGACCCGAAGCAGGCTCAGGCTTTATGATAATCACAACTTTTTTGTGTTTTAAAATAACCAAATGTTTCATTATTATATGAATAAAACAAAGTATGATGTTTGGTTACTAATGCAACATTTCCTTTTTTGGAGTAAAAATGTTTGATTAAGGTTTAGATGTCTGCAGAATATTTCATAATTAAGTCCTTCGAGAAGTGTAGTGTGCCTGGACCACCTGGGTGGCTCAGTCGGTTAGGCGTCCGACTTTGGCTCAGGTCATGATCTCCTGGTTTGTGACTTCAAGCCCAGTGTCAGGCTGTGTGCTGACAGCTCAGAGCCTGGATCCTGCTTCGGATTCTGTGTCTCCCCCTCTCTCCGCCCCTCCCCCGCTTGTGCTCTGACTCTCTCTGTCTCTCAATAATAAATGAACGTTAAAAAAAATTTTTTTAGAAGTGTAGTGTGCCTATTAATGCATCATACTTATTTTCAACTATTGCTAAAGTCTATTCATGTTATTCTTTGTTCACTATGTGTACAATTGGAAACACCTTTTATATTTGTAACCCGATTTCTTTGAGTATTTTAAGTGTGTGAGAAATTTTTCTACTCTGTTGGGCATTATCTCTGTGAATTTAAAATCCATTAAAAAGAAAGTCGTTTTATTTCTGCTTCCTCTTTTGTTGCATTAGTTGGCATGTAAGTTAATTACCTTGAAAATAGGAGAAAAGAAACCACCTATGGTGGGGGTGCCTGGGTGGCTCAGTCAGTTAAGCCTTGGACTTTAGCTCAGGTCATGACCTCACAGCTCCACATAGGGCTCTCTGCTGTCAGGGCAGAATTCTGCTGTAGATCCTCTGGCTCTCCCCCACTCATGCACGCTTGCACTCTCTCTGTCAAAAATAAATAAATATTTAAGAAAAAAAAAGAAACTACCTATGATGACACAGATACTTCTAAACATTGTTTTGTAGTTCTCTTTACATGCTTTTAATTTGCTTATTTTTTGAGTAGACGATATATTCATAAAGTTCAAGATTCGAAAGTTAACTGGAGGACATAGTGAGAAGTTTCCTACACCTGCCCCCCAGCTACACAGTTAACCCTCTCAGAGCCACCCATCACCTTCAAAGATACTTTATGCACCTGCAAACAAACGTACATATAAGCACATACATATTTACACATACACAGAGGTCTTAGTTGAGGCTGTTATAACAAAATACCACATAGATTGGATTTCCTGTAAATAACCAAAATTTATTTCTCACGGTTTTGGAGCCTGGAAGTCCAAGATTAAGGTGCCAGCATGGTTGGATTCTGGTGAAGGCCCTTTCCTGAGTTGCAGATTGCAGACTTCCCATATCTTCACGTGGTAGAAGGACAAGCTAGCTCTCTAGCCTTCAATAAGAGCACTCTTCCCATTTATGAGAGTTCCAGCTCCGTGGCCTGACTACCTCCCAAAAGCCCCATCTCCAAATACCATCACACTGGGAATAGAGTTTCAGCATGTGAATTTTGGGGGTGACACAAACATTCAGTGTATTGCAAACATATACATACACGTGTCATTAACATAATTTGTTGCTTCCTGTATACACTGTTTAAAACTGTTTTTTCATTTAACGATGTACCTTTGAGTTCAGTCCTTCCCGGTACATTTAAAGAGCTGTTTCTTTGTTCTGAATGGCTGCAGAGTATTCCATTGTATATGTGTCATAATTTATTTAACTTGTCCTTCTTGACGACAGGTTTCCGACCTTTTCCTATTTCAACTGATGTTGCTATTGAAAAATGTACAGACTAGTTTCTGTGTGTGCAAATATCTGTGGTATATATTTTTATGTAACTTAGTTTTTAACTAAGAAGAATTTGTTTTATACGTTAACTTCATAGAGCACATTTTAGTCCTTAGGTAATTTCAGGATTGAATGATAATAAAAAAATAATACCAGTGAATGTTTATACACAGTTTTTCCATCATTCCTGTTTTTAACATGAGGTTCATAAATGGTGGTATTTATAACATTTTCTCAAATTTTAGTAACACTTCTCTGACTTAAAAGTTTTTGCCAGTAGGATCTTTAAAATTTAATTTCAGGGGCGCCTGGGTGGCTCAGTTGGTTAAGCATCCAACTTCAGCTCGGGTCATGATCTCATGGTGTGTGAATTCAAGCCCTATGTCAGGCTCCGCGTGAACAGCTCAGAGCCTGGAGCTTGCTTCAGATTCTGTGTCCCTCTCTGTCTGCCCTCCCCCACTTGTGCTCTCTCTTTCTCACTCTCTGTCAAAAATAAACATCAAAAAATTTAATTTCAGTATCTTAATACAAATATTTCTCATTTCTAAGTTAAAACATTAAGGTTAACACAATAAGGAATGGATAATGTGGATTATAGTAGGAGCACTGAACATTTCTGAGTAGCAGTCTGCGGATATTATAAGATAGGTATAGGGCTAAAAGTTGGAGAATGTTTTCCCATTTTAATTTTTAACACTTTAGTTTTGTGCTCTAGGAATTCTCTAATTTATTACTTAAACTACAGTAATAAATTGTCAGTGTGCACAAATGACACTCTGATGTTAATTGATAATATTTTTGAATGTTAACTATGTACTAGCTTCTACTTTACATGCATGGTTTTATTAAATTTTATGAGAGCCAAATAAGTACAGTTATTCCCATTTTCATATTGTTAATGGAGGCTCACAGAGGTTTCATAGCTGTCCCCGAGTAGCACGAATAGTAAATGTAGAAGAGCCTAGACTGGACTGTATGGTTATAGTCTGGACCATTTCTCCACTGTTTCTTAACGTAGGCATAGCTGAAAAGATTTCTATGTGATCTTCATTGTTTCCATCCTGTTCCTTCAGCCTGAATGATGAGCTTTCTGCCCCTCATCTCTCGACTAGTGCCTTAACATCTCAGCTCAATCACCTGTCTCAGGGAAGCCTTCTCTGACCCACTTGCCTAATCAACCCACCTTTTATAGACTCTCATACCCCACAGATATCTTAATGGCACTTGATACCATTGTCGTTTAACATTTGTTAGCATGAGATTATTTGATTGACAGTCTCCCTCCTAGACTGTAAGCTTTGTGAAAGCAGTGACTATTTCTGTATCATGGTATCATAAATATCAAATGCCCCAAATACTAGGCACTTGATATTGAGGGAGAGAAAGAGAAAAATCTGTCTTTTTGTCACTGTAGCCACTACTCCTGATAAACACCGTCATACTTTCATAAACAGTGAAAGGATAATTAGCAATTTTAACGGAGAGTTACATTGTTTTAGATCTTTATCAGTAAATTACATAAAGTTTTAAGATTATAAGCATGTCAGTAATACTGTCATTCAATTTATTCAGTACTCTTATTCAGATGTATAGGTGCTTATGAGATCAATAACGGAGTTTACATAGTTTTTCAGAAATATACATGAAAATCCCCATAATGACTTTGAGGTACATGTTTTGAGAAGATGAAATGTTTCATAATATTTTAACTTCTTTTTTTTTTTGTTTCTAGTGTTGAAGGGCTCCATGCTATTGTTGTGTCAGATAGAGATGGAGTGCCTGTTATTAAAGGTAAAACTGTGCACCCCACCAGTGTCACATTTGCTTTTGAGTAAAAACGTATTTATGTCTCAGTAGTGCAGAAGGCAAGCATAGAAAAGCTATTGCAATACTTTCAGGAGATGGTCTTGGTTGGGGGGCGGAAATGTTTGCTTTGGAATGCTGAAGGCTGGGTTGGAGCTTATGACTTAACTACATGTTGAATATATTGTGTTACCATCCAGAGTTTAAGCATGGGTTTATCACAAGCCCAGTTTTTTCTTGAAGACATTTGTAGTATAATGTAAACCATTGGTAAATGTAAGTGCTGAGACCGTGCACATATGCAGCGGGATATATTATACGTACACACTACCCCCAACACTTTTTAATCAGTGTTGCTAGTGGTTTGGGGATAAACTTCATACATTTGAATCAACATACATTGATTGTTTTGTTTACTCTTTGTGGATTTTCTGCCTTTTTACTGGAAATAAAATATTGTTTAAACTTTTACCTTCACAATTATGTTATTTAACCAGACTTTAACAGGACTTGTTCACCTAAGGAAGAGCTTGTTAACAACAACAACAACAAAAAAAACAGCAAATGTTTTGCCTATTTTTCAGCTTTTTAAAAAAATATATATGATGTCACTGAGTCAGTATGTATTAAGACTATTTTTACTACTTCTTTCTTATCGGATGGTCATAGTTCATAGAGATGCTATAATAGCCTTACCAAAGAAAGATTAAATAGTGTTCTGTATATTGTTTGCAAGTTATTTTCCACCCGAGGTTATTATATATGTCAGATAATTTTACACTTTAGAAAGAAATTTTAAAAATCACCTAATTTTAGTTCTTTTGTTTTGTAAACAAAGATGGTCAAGGGCAAAGTTGCACGTGAGTCAGTGAGAAGATAATAATAGAACCCATTATCTTCTGATGTGTGGGTCAGTGTGCTTTCTAACCCACCATAAAACATAGGGGTCATGGGCAAATAAGGCACCTGCCTGTTTCTTTACTCAGTTCTGTAGCAAGAGCTTTAAACGAAATCAAAATAATCTCGGATTTTCCAGCTCTCGTGTTCTTTCTTAGGATCTCTGTGTTAAAGCCTTAAGCTCTGAACTTACTGGTACAACTGACTTCATTCAGGCCTTTAAATGAATGAAAGAAACTTGAAACCGATGACCAGCTACAAAATTGTCAATATCTATAAGTGATACTGCTATGGGTTTTATGAAAGCAAAGATTTTTTTTGAAGCTTTTTTGACTATTCTAGCTTGGCTCTTGGTTAGCCAGAATATCCAGTTTATTAGTAAACATACTGATTAATCTGTGTTTTAGAGTAGAAATTAAGAAAATATAGACATTTTTAGTATTCTTTAAAAAAACTTGCGAGAATCAGCATTTCTGCCTTTAGCTATTGGTCACTCAATTTCTGACTGAGAAATTTATCTCGCCTAAATTGTAAGACCCGATTAGTGATAGGATTTTCAATATTGTGAAGCATAAAAGCCCTTGTGCTTGATATTTTTACTCATTTATGTTTTAAAAAACAAAGTGCAGTGAACTTCTCTGTATCCTGTCCACTGCATAATTTTTATGTAAATCATTTGTATTTCCAGTGGCCAATGATAATGCTCCAGAACATGCTTTGAGACCTGGTTTCTTATCTACTTTTGCCCTGGCAACAGATCAAGGGAGCAAACTTGGACTTTCAAAAAATAAAAGTATCATCTGTTACTATAACACCTACCAGGTAGGTTCATAATTATTGAATGGCTTGCTGCTTTCAACTATTATTATGTCTTTTATATAAAATAGCTTATGTTACTCTAAATTTTAGTTTTGAAATGGATGCCATTAGCCTTCAAATTGGTTATGTTGAATTGTAGTAGTTTTCTTTACATTTTACATCAGGAATTAATTAATATGGAAAAGTAATTAAAACTTTTATTAATAAAGTACATTATCCTAAAAAAGGAAGTCAGGCCACTGTTACCTCCAGTAGATGGTGCCCTTAGCTTAACAAATATGATTTTTCAAATGACATACTTTTTGTGTTATTGTGACAGATAAAAAATTTTCCTTTTTTGGTCACATGATAAGTTATTTGTTAACTGCTGCTAATTCCTTCATTTGATTTGGAATATGTATATATAATATGTGAGGTTATTAGGAAAGAATTTAGTTGCTACATACCTCTTGATCTCTGGCTGCATTTTCTTCTTTAGAGTAAATTAGTAGCTTCTCCTTTAGAGCAGAGTTTCCCAGGGTATGATTCATGTGCTGCTTGATGTTACACAAGTGATATTTTTTATTTTAGAAGTTAACATATTTTAATGTGTAATAGGCAAAAGACGACCAACCCTTTTGACCTTTAATTTCACCGATAAGGATTAGGTTAAAGCTAATTTTAGGGGGGTCTTTTTGGTGTTTTGTTTTGTCTTGAGAGAGAGAGAGCGCACGCACGCGCATGCTCGAGTGAGGGGCAGAGAGAATCCCACGAGGGGCACTGAGAGAGAGAGAAGCGGGGCTCCTAAAGTGTGGCTTGAGCTCACGAACCAAGAGATCAGGGCCTGAGCTGAAGTCAGATGTTTAACCAACCGACTGAGTACCCCAGGCGCCCAGAAACTAAGTTTTTTTTAAACAATAGTCGATTTAAACTTAATTTAAATTAGTTTAAATTAGGGGCACCTGGGGGGCTCAGTCGGTTGAGCGTCCGACTTCGGCTCAGGTCATGATCTTACAGTTTGTGGGTTGGAGCCCCGCGTCTGGCTGACAGCTCAGAGCCTGGACCCTGCTTCAGATTCTGTGTCTCCTTCTCTCTCTGCCCCTCCCCCGCTCACACTTTGTCTCACTCTGTTTCTCAAAAATAAATAAATGTAAAAAAATTTAATTTAAATTAATAGTGGTACACAGGAAGCAGAAAAATCTTGATAGTGTAACTACTTAAATGAGAAATACTGACTTTATTTAGCCGTTTAATTATCAGATATTTGTGGAGCCCCTGCTATGTAATAATTAACATGCTGCTGGGTGTTTAAAGACAGATGAGGATGATACAGTCCCACTTGAAAGACTTAGGCTAAGTAATATTAATATCTCTCAGAGATAATCGGAAGTCTTTTACGGAAATACTTGTTTTCAGCTCTTTCATATTACATGATGTTACATAGTATGTTACACGTTGGTCATTTAAAAATTTTTGGAAGATGGTCGCCTGGGTGGCTCAGTCGGTTAAGCGGTCGACTTCGGCTCAGGTCATGATCTCACAGTTCATGACTTCAGGCCTCGCGTCAGGCTCTGTGCTGACAGCTCAGAGCCTGGAGCCTGTTTCGGATTCTGTGTCTCCCTCTCTCTCTGCCCCTCCCCTGCTCATGCTCTGTCTCTCTCTGTCTCAAAAATAAATAAAAAAACATTTAAAAAATTAAATAAAAAAAAATAGTAATTGGTCAGGTAATTTAAAAAATGAGGTTAAACAAAATAATCATATAAAATATGCATATATACTGTCATGAAGTGTGTATTTATTTATACTGTCATTAAATAAATACCTCAGTTGAAGTATTTCAACTGAGATCACAAAGATCAGGGACTCCTGGGTGGCTGGGTGGCTCAGTCAGTTAAGCAATTGACTTCAGCTCAGGTCATGGTCTCGCGGTCCGTGAGTTTGAGCCCCGCATTGGGCTCTGTGCTG